ATAATATATATACGCATGCATAATAATAAAAGTAAACGAAGATACATAAAATATAATTATCTATAATACTTTCATAATTCTTTATACATTACAATAAAATGCCTACAACTATAAACAACTATGGCTCTTTAAGGTTTGATTTTGGTATTGCATTATTCATTAAATTATTTTCCATTGGAATTGTAAATCAAATATTTATTTGTTATTTGAAGCATTACACAAAATATCACATCGAATTATCTTTCATTTAGTTCAAATTATTATTCTGAGACTCAAACCTAAATCCAAACTTTAATAAATTATTTTATGTACTTATAGACATTACTTACTAAGGAGTGGCCGACGTAGTGAAGCTTTTGTCCCGTTTTGTCATGAACATATCGGAAGAATGCAGGGAGATCGTAGATGGCTAGCTCGTCCCATGACCAATTCCAATAGTCCTAATTGTGTCGAAAAATAGAAGAGTATCAGGAAAAGAATGGTTCAAATTTAATAAAAAAATATAAAATTTCATCATTAAAATTGAAGTCCTTATCATTGTTTAAAATTTATTTGAAGCACAATTTGAATTTAATTATCCTATAAATCATCATATTTTGCTATTTTAGGTCCTTAATATAAAATATTTGTGATGTGCTGAATAGATAATAGATTTTAATAAAAATAAATAAATAAAATACAAATATTTAATTTGATGTATATAAATAAATTATTGATAAATAGTGAAATAAAAATATTGAAAACATAAGTAAACATTTTTTTAAAGAACTATCTGGAGTGAGGGAAGTGTGTCCGCTGCTATAACTTGTCCCCCGAACATTGGCTAGCCAAACGTCAAATCCATTGTCCGCTAATATAAATCCCAAGGATTGATCGGGAGAATCTAACCATGTCGAAGCATCCTATATTATTACCATGAACAAAAATTAATAATTTGAAAATTTTTATTATGTATTTTATGCTTATTATTTTTTTTACTATTCGATTTTTTTATTTTATCTCATAAAAGTTCAAATCAAACTATTATTTTCATCTAAAAATATATAATAAAAAAAAAATCCAAAGGAACACACCCTTAATAATATACTTGAATATATGGTAGAAAAAACATCGAGAATAATATGTAGGTTTGAAAGTACACTTATAAGTCCATGTTGAAGAAGAACTGGCGCTTTAGCCCCTTTCTTGCTATTAGATCGACCTGTTGGGATTCTTTGAAGACTTAAAATATATCCGTCTTCGGTTGTGACCTAATCATAGATAATATTTCTAAAAAAAATTAAATTATGATAACTAATAGTTAAATAAAAAATAAAAAGGATAACAAAATCTACGTACTTTATGTTCTTCGCAAGCGTACCCTTGCGTCTCCACCATTAATTGACATATGCCTTTCACATCATTGCTCGTCTCAACAAGCCTCCTATGAAGCTTCGTTCTTACACCCGATGCAGAAATGTTTAATAGAAGCAAGATAGCTAAGGACGTTATTGTCTTGTTGACAATCATCGTGGATCCTACGAGGCTCGTCGTAGAATTTTCACCTTTTGATGATCTTTTTTACAGAATTTCTTGTTGTTTTATAGGGAAAGAAATTTGGATTTATTGGATGTGATAAAATATGGGTACTCTTGTTGTAATAATGAGACAATTTTGTTGCTAACTACACTACATTTGAGTGTTCATATTTCATGAATCTCCCTTCATTTGGAGGCTAATGCAAATATATATATATATATATTGGGTATATACACATAATTAATTTATATATTTATTTTTTAGTTTAGTAAAGTATTGTTATAATAAAATAAAAGAATATTTTTATATTTTACCTAAAAGTACCGGTATATCATTGTTTGATTTTATTATACATTTGTATTATTTTCAAGGATATTTTCATCAATATGCTATTAAATTAAAAAAAAAAATAATAATAATAATAGATACATATAAAAATGGTGTTAGGATTGACATATCTCAATACTAGTACGATGTTGTTGTCATTGGACCGAACTCGTACGAATTTACTTTTAAACTAATATAAAAGCCTCGTACTAGTAAAATTCATATAAGACTTATAAAGAATAATTTTTTTATTTTTATTTTTCTAATTTTCTATTATAAGACTTGAGTTTGGACCTCCAACAAATAGATGAAAAGAGTATACAGGGTGTATTCACTTTATATTTTTAAATATGTATTTTTATATTAGATATGATTGATAATATACAAAATAATAGTTTATGTTAAACTATTATTATTTTTTTAAATGAATAGAACATATATATATATATAAAATATAGATTGTGTGAGTCGTGTATATATATATATATATATTATATTTTTCGTAATCAAGAATTATGTCCCACAAATATTATTAGATGAACACACCCATATATTTGTTTTCATATAAATATTCATGAAATGTGAATAAAGGGATTGCATGCACTATTTTGAACAGTAGTATAAAGTTTAATTATAGAATAATTGTTTTTTAGGTGATATATGTATTTATGCTAAAAAATGTGAATTATATAATATATTTGATCTAAGGCAAGGCCAAGATGGAGGAGTAAAGGGAGCATCAACCAAGCCAATGGAAGAAAAAACATCCAATGGAGCAGTCCAGAATATAATCTAGTCAAAATAGTGATGAAGACATATTCCTTTGTTTGGGACACACTCCAAATTCCCTAATTGTACTTCATTTTATTTTATTTATGTCTATTTTTAGTTTCTTGTTTTATTACTTTTATATTTCATTTTCATCCCTTTAATTGCCAGTTGATTCATGCACGCACTTTTCATCTATTTTACTGTGAATTTTACTCAATTCTCTTGCTTCTATTTCAATTACAGATTTTTATTTTTCTTTTAAACTTATTTATTTATTTCATTGAATCGGATTTGGTTCCATCAGATTTTGTCGCGCTGTTCGCATCAATCTCGAATCAAATTTTCGTTGTTTTAATTTTCGATTGCAAGAAGAAGCCGGAACATTTTCTTCTCGAATAGGCCAAAGGACCCGATTCAATATTGATACTGACCGACCCAAGTCAATTAGGCCATCGACATCGATTTTCAGTGACAACAACATTAATTGTTTTATAATTTAAATATATATAAACTATAGTATATAAAAGTTTTAATTATACTTCACCATTGTATTAATAGAATACCGAGAATATATTTGAACTTTGTCATAATTTTATATAAAAACATTGAGAATCCCTACAATATTTCAAATATGTTAACATAGAATCGTGCCAAAAATTTTATATTTATTTCAAATTTCACTATTTAGTGGTCCATCAAATTTTATTTCACATATTTTATAAAATTTGTTCTATTTGATGAGTTGCTGCAAAAAATCTGTATTTTTGGGCAAAATCAATTGTTATTATTTTTTTTTTCATGATGGATACGAGGATTTACGTGTTAATATACAATATAGTATTTTATATTGAATTGTTGACTTTTTGTTAGATTAATAAAGGACATATGTTATATATATATATTGTGTTCATATTTGTATATAATGTATTCTTTTTAGTAATATTTATAGAAAATTTTACCGCTGAAAAACACAAAATCAACAAACTCATGTTTGCTACAGAATTACCAACCATTAGATATCTGTCACTATATCTACTGATTTACAATTTCGTTTTTTCCATCGCTAATATATATATATATATTGATGAAAAAAAAAATATGTCGATTAAATGTATTTTAATAAAAAAAATTTAATACGATATATTGAAGTAAATTTTAAGAATGAATTAAAAAACACTTTATCGTATGCTAACTACAACTATTTAATAATAGTAAAAAAAATAATTTAATTTATTTATTTTAATATAATACAATCTCATTTATTTACTTTCTCCTTTTAAAATAGTATAAACTGTTATTTAAGTATGTAATCGGCCTTAGTTATCATTTTAGTCCTGTAATCGATGTTTGTTTTGAAATAATCCCGTGAATGAAAAGTTTTTGCACATTTTTTGGCGGACATGTGAAAACATTTTTACTTTTTATTTTTTGTTTAAAAATGCATCAATTTCAAAAAATAAAAATTTAAAAATGGATATATTTATTTCTTATTTTTTAAAATACATTAATTTATTAAAATTAAAAATAAAAAGAATATTTTCCATGTGTCCATCAAGTGATACTTACCTGCACTACAAAAAAAAAAAAAAAAATAGTATATTTGTAACGAAATTTTGTTTCTAAAGTTCACGTAGCTAACGTAATTTTATCACTGATTCTGTTTCTAATATCATTAGTAACGGAAATAGTAGATTTAAGAACGAAAAACCTTGTTACAAAAATAATATTTTTTTGTAGTTTGGTAGATACGTGTCCTCTGTGTAATAACCAAAGTGCGAAAAATTTTCACTTACGAGACTATTTCAAGACAAATTTTAATTACGAGACTATAATGATAAGAAAGTCATTTACTAAACTGAGAAAACAATTTATCCTTTAAATTATATTTGTGCCTATTTGGATGGAACCTTATTTACTTAAATCGAATTGTTTTCTATTTTATTTTCTTGGAGGTGAAAGAAAGTATTCTTAAATTTAGCATGTTTTGTAATTTATTTGATCTTGGTTGGAATAGGAAATAATTTCAAAACATTTTTGCGAACAAACTAATAAAATTCACTAATTTACAAAGTTCAATAGCAACTATAAAATAAGATATATAATTATAATTTTGTCGATACTTGTGTTCACTTTGTGTATTTAATTGGCACTATTCTTTATAAATATTAAAAAAATATATTATAATATATACACATATTAATACAATATATAATATATACACTTTATTATTCCCAATAAAAATCAACAATTCAATACAAAATATTATTTTTTCATATTATCGACACAATTTCTCATACTTAAAAAAAAAAAAAAAAAAAAAAAAAACCTAAAAACACAAAGTTAACACATAGTCCAATAATGTTCGAAAAAAATGGCTGAGATAATCAATGAAGTTTGAAGAAAGCGATGAGGGGATCATAAACGGATTGCCGGGCATTGATAGCCATTACATAGTCGGCGTGCCCGTAATCCTCGCGATACTCCACTACTAGTTTGTCTTTCCGGTGACCTTTAAGGCTATCGAGCAAGAGTTTAACATCCGCTGACACAGACAGTGCATCGGTGCCACCATGGGCCAAAAAAAGCGGAATGTTATTTGGTATATTCGACATGTTGTACGAAGGAGGAGATGGTCGCCCATACCGTTTCCGGTTCTCCTTCTCATCTTCATAGTCGTACATCTTAATTGTACCATCTCTCATCACTGCTCATAAAAAATATTCAAGATCGATTACATTTTTAACAAATAACCATATTATGATAAATGTTTATTTTACTGTGGTGGTTACAGTACTTTTTGGGAAAATTAGCCCTGATATGATCTTTCCAAAAATAGTACCGATTAAGACTCCAAAAGACGCAACAAGAGTCCAGATAGCACATGTTCTATTGAATAAAGCATGTACTATATTTAAAACGTGTGTTTTCTTGACTCTTATCGGTGTTTTCTGGATTTTTAGTCAGTACTTTATGAATTTCTGAATTAATGTTATTTGGGGAAATAATCACGATGTCATGTGCTCTATATGAGTACATTATGTGCTATTTATTTTTTGTATTGTATTTTTATTATATTAATATAAATGGTGTATTATTTGAAATTTTAGTCTATACTGTCTAGACTATTAATCTGTAATATTTGAGAATATTGCTTATTTTTTCAAACACCAACCGTTATTTTAGATATATTAAAGTTATATTTCAAATCAACGCGTAAAAAATATAACGAATAAATTTTAAAATAATGTATTAACAATTTTAAATTAAATGTAAGGGTGTTATATGTATATTGAGAGGATATAATCTAAAATGATAAAATGAATATATTGGTTATGGACAAAATGATATACTTACTCTGGGCAAAATGAATCATGTTCTTTGTCGAAGTTGACTGAGGTTCGTGCCGGAGAAAAACGCTGATGATGGAAGAATTCAGGCAGCAATTTTGGCCTACATTACGATGAAATGCTCTATCAACACAATTCCTTCCAATAGCCGATCTTTAGAAAAATATGGATGCACATAAAAGACTATTTACCCGTAAGCGATGTTAAAAGGTGAATGCAGTCGACGCTCTTATCCATACAAATATTGAGCAAGAGTTTGATAACATCTTCCCTGTGACAAACCATATCCATCCATTAAAAAAATGGTGAGTCTTCGAGCTCATTATAATTTTCTAGACTTAATTTTCTTACCCTTTTGGATTGAATTCGGGAATTTTCAACCACTGAGAAATCTATCGAAGAAGACAAATAAAGTAACATGAAATTATTGTCGAAGGATATTGCGAGAAATTAATACCAATATCTCGATAGAATTTTAGGCAATGCCGTCATTTAACATGAAATGATACAACGGTAACAAATTTTACATATACCTCAGCTAGGAGAATTTCCGCGCCAGTTCTCGCAATAGGCGAAGTCACGTGACCAACATATGCTATTGGGCAAAGCATAGCCGCCGATCTCAACATATTTACTAACTCCCCTTTCGAAAAGGCTGCAAGAGCGATAAGAGTTCCCTAGGAACAACAAACAACTAGAATAAGTTAAACATATATGAGTATTAAACGATAAACCTATTGTTCCATTTTAAGATATTGGTGTTGTTAAATGACCATTCATCTAAAAACATTATTTATATACTCCCTCCGTCCCAATACAATAGTCTTGTTTACTATTTTTTTCCGTTCCAAAACAATAGTCTTATTAACTATTTTTTTCCGTCCCAAAACAATAGTCTCATTTCCATAAATAACCATATCACCGTAAAACTATCCCTATTTTTTCATTATTATTACATAATTGCAACTACTTTTTACACTAATATACTTACAAGGGCAAAAAAGTCATTTATCTTTACTTTTTACCAACTATCAATATAATATTTATATTTCTTAAATCCCCTACCCAACACAATAAGACTATACTTTTGAGACGGAGGGAGTACTATATAGTCAACCAATACGCTCCTCACAGGCAAGGTGAATGTACGTCAATTACAAATCTTGCATGTGAATGATAACGAATGGAGGACAATGAGACTCAAATACGGAACATCCTGGCTCTGGTACTATAGTAAATGATTATTTTACTTAAAAGCTTAAACTTAAAATGATATGCATAGTTTATTTATTTATATATTATCCAGTCAACCAATAGGGACAAGAATGCGGCATCCAAAATAGGTTTGGTTCGACAAATTTGGATTGCGGTTCCAATATGGCGTTGTGTAAGAAAAAATTGTTGTGACAAATGTGTATTTTCTTACCATGGAGTGACCAACGTAGTGAAGCTTTTGCCCGGTTTGCTCATAAACATACTGAAACATCGCGGGGAGTTCATACTCGACAAGCTCGTCCCACGACCAATCCCAATAGGCCTAAAAACATTGCCACAAGTTGTACTAAAACCGAAACCAAAACCAAAAATCGAATCTAAGAAATGATAATAAGGGTAAGGGTACCGCATCGTCAGGAGTGAGAGATGTGTGGCTGAGACTATATTTCGTGCCTCGTGTGCTCACAAGCCACACGTCGAATCCATTTTCGGCCAAGAGAAGAGCCAACGATTGGTCAGGAGGGCTAAGTAGCCACGTTATCGCATCCTAGGAAAATCGCAACATCATCATACTATTGAAAAAAAAAAAAAAAAAAACTAACACCATTAGGACAACACGATACATAGCTTAAGCCATGGCGACAACAAAAATGCAAACCATTGAAAGTCCATGTTGTAGTAGAACCGGCGGTCTTTCCCCCGGCGTTTTCCCGGAGCGACCGTATGGAATATTTTGCACGCTGACGATGAACCCGTCTCGAGTTTTCACCTAACAAGAAGTAAGAAAACAAAACGTTGAAACTTTTCCATATGGACATCACAAAAGCTTTTTTCGACATTACGAACTATTTTATTTTGTTACTTCATGTTCTCGGCAAGGGTAGTTTTGTACTTCCACCATCGCTCGGCAAATACCATCGGCACGACTCGCGGCATCGTTCGACGATGCGGGTAGAGGTTTGCTTGAAGCTTTAGCGAAGAAAAATATTATTGTAAGGAAAGTTAAGGTTATTTTGTCCATGTTAATTGTTGTTAGAATGTGACAACGTTTTTTCGAATATGTAAAGAATCGTGAAATTTTAATAGAGACGAATGGGAGGTGAAGGCTATGAGAATCTACGGAAAAGGTTAAGATTTGGGATAAAAAAAAAATTTGATACGACCAAGTTTAATTCTTGGAAGTGTAGTTAAGGGAAAAATGAACAATGTTTCTTTCTTTGTTTGGTTGTATGTGTTTTTGTTCCATTTGTTTTCACTAATCATCTATAATATTTTATTTATTTTTCTTCAAAATATAGCATCATAAACTTATTTTCATTTCATATATTATACATGAAAAAAAATATATTCAAAATATAGCATCATGAACTTATTTTCATTTCATATATTATACATAAAAAAAAAATATTCAAAATATAGCATCATAAACTTATTTTCATTTCATATATTATATATAAAAAAAAAATTCAAAATATAACATCAAATACATATTTTTATCATATCAAATAATTATTATAATTTTAAAAACTTACTGTTTCAAAAACACTAAAACACAAGAAAACAAACCCTTAGAATATGGCCTTGGAGTTCAATTCGACATATGCCTTTAATTTTATTTTTTTACAGCACTTTTTTTTTTAAAAAAAAAAAATTAAAATTAAAGTGGAACTTACTTCTAATTTCATATTTTTATCCCTCAGTAAATAAATATATATATATATATATTTTTTAAAATTCTCATCTCTTATAAATTCATTTATGTTGATAATGAATATATAAATTATTTATTATAGTATTACATATTTATAATTTAAAAAATAATACTTATATTGAAATATGATTTTTAAAATATTTCAAATATACTTAATTTTTATTTTTAATAAAATATTCTTTCTGTCCGAATTAATTATGCTACTTTATTTAGATACGGAGACAAAAAATTAATAATATGTTTAATATAAAAATAGTGTAGACAAAAAGTAACGTGAGACCATTACACAAAATTTATTAAAAAATTGATAAAAATATGATGTGATAAGTAGAAAAGAGATAGTGACAAATTAATTATAATTTATTGAAGTTGGGATAATAAAATTATTTATGAATTATAACTAAATTTAACGGACAAAAAAAAAAATTCTAATATTCTTTTTCCCACTTTGTGAAGTAGTTAATAGCTACGATAATGAAGGAATGCATCTTAGAAGATGGAGGATGGATTTTGTCGATGATGTCCATCGCCCATCTGTGAAAAGACCAAAGTTTGATAATCGAATGAAGTTCTTCCACAGGGACTCATCGAAGTGGTCCATGGTGCTGACATACCGGACATTCCTGAGCATAATCCATACAATCCTGCGAGATTCGTGGCCATAAACAACCGTATCGGAGAATCGTCCACTTAATGGCGGGTACAGCCCTATGGGCGCCTCCAACACCTTCGTAGACTTTGTTCATAACTTTCATAGTGTCCTTGTGACCGAGAAAACATGCTAAAGTTCCATCGAATCTTCGTCGATACAGTTCCCCATCGATTTGGGTGTATTTTAGAAGTTGATAACACATCGTTTTTGAAACGACCTTCTCAGGGTCTGTTAGACCTTCCACCAGTGGGGTTTGCCAGTCTAGGTCCTTTAGACATTCATATTCTTGCAATATTTCCCTTATTTAAAATCCAAAAGCCCATTGTGCTAAGTCGTTTGCCTCTGAATTCTTTTCCAAAGGTATGTCCTCAAACATAACCTTCGTGAGCTGCTGAAAAAGACCGTGGGCTTCTCGAAGAAGGTCTTGAAGTTATGGTTCCTTGAACTGGAATTCTTTGAGAACCTGTCGAATAACGAGCTGAGAATCCCCCCCGAATAACGACTTTCTTGACCTCCTTTGCGATTAAGAATCGCAATGCCAATAGAAATGTCTCGTATTCGACTTGGTTATTGGTAACGGCTTGTGGAAGAGAAACATCATACTTCTCCTTCTGGACTAAAGATCACTATGCCTGCTCTAGCTGCTTCCGAGGTGTTGGACCCATCGAAAGAAAGGCCTGAACCATCCCGGGATTTTCAGCCAAAAAATCTGTCATGGCCTATCCTTTGATGCCCTTAACGGACTGGTATACCAATGCGAACAATGCCAACTTCAACGCCAATTTAACTTAATGGCCTCGGAGGACTGGCTTATTTAATAAATACCATAGAAGGTCGACTTTGCATACGACTTTAGTTTCAACCGGCATCAAATAATACTCTAATTTTGTACATGCATTATATAATGATAAAAAAAGTTTTTCAATACGCGAATAACGAGTTTCAGCTTCATTTTAAGTCTTACTAAGGTAATAATTAGCTCGATCGTCTTGGGCAAGGAGGCAGCCCGTTGTATCATTGGTCACGGCTATGTACGATTCAGCTCCCTTCCACTGATTGGCGGCATTAACACCACATAAGATGCTAACGTCTACTTAATATGATCCAAGGCTTGTTTCTGGGTTATTCCCCACTCGAACACGTCTTTTTTCCCACGCAGAAGCACCGAGAAGGTCTTCATTTTCCCGGCAGCGTTGGCAATGAATCTTCTCAAGAGCTTGACCTTCCCCATCAAGTTTTGCAGCTCTTTATTTTTGTGTGGGGGCCCAAAGCCCTGGAAAACCTTGGTCTTATTTTTTTCGACCTCGATGTCCCTTTGATGAACCAGGAAATCAAAGAAATTCCCTACTTGTACTCTGAAAGCGCACTTCATAGGGTTCATGTTGAGGTCGTGCTGCCTCATCTGCATAAAGGTCTTCCAAAGGTCCAACAGGTGGTGATCAAATTCTTGGCACCTCACCACCACATCATCTTTGTATACCTCCACACAAGCACCAATCAGGTCATGAAATATTGAGTTCATCGCCCTCTGGTAGGTCGTTCCGAAGTTCTTGAGGCTAAAGGACATAACTATCCATTCGAAGATTCCGATCACTCCGGGGTAGCGGAAAGCTATTTTATGAGCGTCCTCCTCGTCCAAATATATTTGGTTATAACCAGAGTAGCCGTCCATAAACGAAAGGATCTCGTATCCAGCCGTAGAATCTACAAGCATATTGGCAATGGGCATCATGTATTCGTCCTTTGGCGTCACCAAATTGAGGTTCTGGAAGTCAATGTAGATCCGGATCTTCCCATTCTTCTTCACTATTGGTACAATGTTTGAAATCCACTCCGGGTACCTACATGTTCAGATAAAGCTAGGTTTAAGGAGTTTTCCGACTTCTTCCTTCACTTTTGGCAACAATTTCAGGTTAAAACGCCTAGGGGGCTATTTGTGCGGCCGAAATGATGCTTTGGTGAGTAGTTGGTGTTCCACAAAGCTCATTTGAAGCCCAGACATCTCGTGGTAATTCCATGCGAAGCAATCCTTGAACTCTCGGATCAAGGCAATTATTCGTTCATTCTTCTCGACATCCAGCAGGGCGTTGATCTGCATCATCTAAGGGGTTGTCTGCATCAGTAGGGATATCCTCATCCAATGGATCCTATGCTTCAAAATTTGGAGCAGTCCTTCGAATCGGAGAATAAAAATCCTCTTCGCCTTGATCGCAAATAGGCGGCCATGAGGATATCCCTGCCTGCCCGCCGAGAGGGTCAGCGGCATAAATTTTCAGCCATATGAAAGGACAGCCGGATCTGCCTGCTCTTGCCTCAAGATCCTACAAAATCATTTGTCATTCATGATGAACTGATGAGCTGTCGGGCTGTGTGTCGGCCTTGGTTTTGAGGCAAAAAATGATCACCTTGACCTTGAAGTCTCTCTCCGAATGTAAAACTCGTTCAAGATCTTGATCGGTGGCAATTACGTCCAAACTTGCTTCCGATATCTCGTCGCAATCGAGTGCTCCAATCATCGGTCCATCTTCTGAAACTCGATCATGTTGGATACTGCAGGAGGCTCCTTGTCAAGAGAAAATTCGCTCTCCAGCAGGATACGTTTCGGCCTCCATTCCCCCCGACTGATGGCTTAGATCTTTCTTATCCAATTTTGACCTTCCAATAGCCACTGCATCCTGATCGTATGGCTGCCGCTTCCTTGCCTGACCTTCCTGGTCTAATTTAGGCCTTCTAGTGCCCACTAGGTTATGATCTTCTAAATTCCGTTTCCTTCTCTGACCTTTCCGGTCTAATTTCGACCTTTATGCGGCAGCTCTTTCCTGGTCTTTGGTCTGCTGCCCCCCTAGTCTAACCCTCCTGGTAGAGGCAAGCGGCCAAATGTTGTCACTACATTCTCCTCTTTTAGGTCATGGTAGGAGGTCGCAATCTCTGTTCCTTATGGTTCACGGCCCAGCTTCCATCATCAGAAGCTCTTTTAGGAAACGGGTTTGATGTGGTGTAATCACTATCTGATCTACCGAGGTCACTCTCTAGACTTCCCGACCCTTCTCGAAGCTCACTTTGGCAACTGTAGTAGTGGTAGAAAGTCTATCACATACCGAGCTCCTTTTCGGGGGTTTAATCGACCTTTCAAGTCCTTCAAATACCAATTTTCGAGGTTCCATCTTTATATTTTTTTCCAGATCCTAATGCCGATTTTCTAGGCCTTGTCGGACGTATTCCAATGACATTTATTGGTACAGAGAATGGTTTGGTATCAACCTTCATTTCAGGCTTCTCGGCCAGCCCGAGGCGGTCTTTTTTTATGGTTTTCCCTTGAGACTCAGCCAATAAGGTCTTATTTGGTTCAACCTCAGCTTCGGCAACTTCTCATGGGCATGAACATATTAGTTTCCACTCTAAGGACTAGAGCTTGCTGCAATGGTGGATTTTCAGGGGCTGGTAAGGTAGGATATTCGCATGTTTGTTGCACCCCGGAACCAGCAGCAAATCAACCTTCCTAAGCAGTTCCCTGCCCTATTATATCGGGATGGTGTTGGGACTGGTCCCCCTGGTTCCCAAGTCATTTCAGCAGGCTTTGGGACAAAGAAGGTGATAGAATCATTGTCGGCTCTGCCCCCCATGAATTGGAATTCTCTTGTCCGGCCGTTGAGTTTCT